CTTAAAACCGATATTTAGGAGCCAAAATGCTGTTGCTATGCTTCTGCATCCTTTTATTGGAATTTAAATAATAAGGCAGCACTACAGCTATTCCGCATTATATTATAGTTATGATTATTTTATAGAAGACTAGCTGTACCCACGTGCTTTGCCCCGTTTAACTTCTTAATTTTCAAGATGAGCTCGTTCGCATGGCTCAATCACGTCCTGATTGAAATTCGTTCGCTACGCTCACTCACCTTTAGGTTGAAGCTCGTTCGCTGCGCTCACTTGCCTTCAGGTTAGCTCGTTCGCTACGCTAACTCGCCTCCAGGTTGAAGTTCGTTCGCTACGCTCACTCACCTTTAGGTTGCAAATTAGCTGTGTCATAAATTAAAAAAAAAAAAAAAATAGTGCTGCGCCCTCTTGGTAATCCTTGTAACTTTAATGCTATTGAACATCATAGACCAGAACCAACTTGTTTAATTGAAACAGCTGTAAAGATTCTTTATTCCTATCCTTCTTTATTCTTTATTTAAATATGAGTACAAACTTGAAAATTTTATTTATTTTACTCTAAGCTATTCCTACTTTACTAAGTAACACCGTTTATTAGTTTCCTTGTAGGTACTCGTTAAACCTAATGTTATTTAGTTAGGTTTAATAGAAAATCAATTCAGACAAACGGAAATACGCTTAGTTGGCAGGTTTGCTGCGGCGGGGGTATTTTATCTGCCTAGCACTAAAGATTCATTAGAAAAGAAAATACGTTTGTCCATTTTTATATTCGAAAAAAATATTTACAAAAATTGATGGGGAAAACAAGAAAATCTATTTAATACCGTGAGTAAAATTTCATCCAACCAGATTCTAATACAATTATAATTGAAATGTTGTAACCGTTGAGAGATAAATAATATAAATTATAATTAGTTCTTTAACTAACAAACCCTGAGCGGAATTATGATGATTTAATTATGCCCACTAGTTAATTTAATTACTAAAATGTGTGTTACTCATACAGTAATTTGGCTTAATATATCATCAAGTGAAAATAGGGTTTTATGCATAACACAACAAGCTTGAATTTGCATTAAAAGGAATGCACGGGATAATATAAACAGCATATGCAAATCTCTCTGTAAATTGAATTTCCTGCAAAATATGAAACTCATTATTCTTTTAACCTCCATTATGACAATTCCATTTAATACTAACATTTACTTCCTCTAATTTTCATTCCTGATATGATTTCCCTCACTAATTGTCATTCTTCCATTATTTGTACAACAATTACAACTAATTCTTGCTGCAATTCATAATTTGAATTACTATAAACTATCCTTATCCTTCTTTGACACCCGACAGACTCTCAATGGAAAGATACCAAAGCTTTGATAGCTACATTGTCAAGAATACATCAAATAAATTGTTTGTCGAGCACATTTTTTCATATTTAGACCTTTCTTTTAAGGATACTTTTTGAAAATAAGAAATGTTTATGTCCCTTAAGACAGCGTGATATATTTGTGTCCTCAAATAACAATAATCTATAATTTTATTCTATTTATTTATCGAGGCACTCTTATGGTCATACAACTGCTGTAACTATTGATTTCACTAACGTTTCTACCAAAATTTCTACCTTTTCTCAGTGATATTATTTATACTTGGTCATGAATAATTTGGTTTCGTATTAAAATAGTTTAGTTTACTATTGAAGATTTTTTTTATTAACAGGGTAATAGAAAAGACGAGTGTAGTTATTTTAGCGCAAAACTTCTTTCTATCCTAAGAACTGGATTCCAACTTCGCCACACACCAATTTAGCTTTTGGAGTTGCCCAGTGGTTTGCGTTTCAATTCAAACATTGGTTTTCCCTTCTAGAACCCACTCAAGGTCTCTTTGACGATAAAAGTTTTTAGTGGTAAACTTATCCTACTTTAAGTAATTACAAGGTTTGATTAAAGTAAGTTTCTAGTATTCGTTGTTGTATTTTCATTAAGGAATTCATCGTTTTTATAGCAAAACTATTGATTTTGTAGTTTTATGATAAAAATAAACCTGTTTGAGTTTATTATTTACGATTACTACGATTACTGTACAATACAAGGATTAATTTCTGCAGCTAAATTACGTTGACAGCAGGTGTAGTTGTTCTATAGAAAATGAAATATAACGTTTCGTTAGTAAAAATTAGAATGTGATGGTTATACCAATGACACCAGGTGTTTTCAGTTAACATCCACAGCACCAGGGTTAAGTCGGGTTATTTGTACATTAAAAATATGTTTACTTTCATATAAAGAGTATGGTTACCGTAACCTAACATAACCTTGTGTGTTTGGTAGAGCAAGAGTATCATTTGTGTACGATTTGTTCACATTCTTTTCTTGTTTTTATACTTCATGTTGTTAGCCTCCGGATCACTGGTATAGTAATAAATAATGGCTCGAATACCTTATACTGTCAAAGTGATCCTTTGTAGTCTATATATACTACTGCAGTTTCGTCCTCGATGGGAACTTCATCAGGCTGTCAAGGACATCAAATTTCGTTCCAAAGGAAGTCATTTAGTTAAAATCCATCTATGTCACACATGTAATTACACACAAACGAAAAGACGAACAATAAATAAACATTACAAAAACGCTGGTACCGGGGAACACAATACGCACGGAGGGCAGGTCTAGACTGCCTGCAAGACTGGCTGAGTCTAGCAGTACGAAATTTACTGAACTTCTACGGATTGACGCAAGATAGCTTTTAGTAGACAATTGTTTTGAATGTGTTCGTATGCAAAACATCCATGTGTATACCACTGATTTGAAAGATAAGATTGCATGAATAAAGCTCGATCCTGTACCGGTAGTAGTTGAGCCATATCACCACACATATATACAATAAAATCACCAAACAATTGGGCGTAATCCTGGGTGTCGGGTTTCGCTTGAGGCAGGATAAGCGTTTGTCGATCATTGCTTGTAGCCTCTGCCCACACGTAGCTATTTCATCGCAAACTACGACACGGACGCTTTCGAACAAAATCTGAAGATTTAGTTAATTTCTTTCCTGAAGCTATAATTAAAATTTTGCATATTCAATTTTAGTGCTGAGTGAAATGTTTGGTCATTAGCATTAGAAGCGCAACCAGTGAATACGAGAACACTGACGTCACCATAGGTTGATTCCGTTATATTTACAATCAATTTATAACCACTGTCTTTTTTGTCATAATGTTTAGTCTGCAAGATTAAACTAATGGAACACTTATATAAATACACCTAGTCAACTGAAACCAAGAATTAATCACGCAGCACGAATATTAGAACAGAAACTGTATTGATCATAAACAAATGACGTCACTAGCCCGAAATAAAACATGTTTGTATTATTATTTGTAATTTTAACTATACAAAAGTTGATAAATAGGAGAATAGGGCGTTTTTCCATAAGAATAACATGGGGATCATTTTTTTAGCATTTTTTCAAAAACCCTGAGCTTTGCCTATACCATTGACTATATAACACTAGTGATATTGTATAGACAATGCCTATACATCCCTATACAAATGTCCATCTTTATAAATATTTCAAATCCACATATATTTTATAAAATTACATGAGGTTTGCACCAAAACTCGGGCGTGCTCCCTGCCCATATTTCTCATCCCTAGAGGTGACACATTCTTGATAGGGGGGGGGGGGGGGTGAAATGCCGCTCCCTTAGGATTGCCTCTTACTATCCTTTGCGAATATCCAAGAGTTCTGGCTACTTGGGCACCCAAGCCATTTGACATACAACACATCAGCCTTACTCCTAATCACCTTCTCTACCAAATACATGTCTTTATACTTGGCCTTTAACAACTCCTCTGTATAGAACCCTTTCCTGATTATATTACCATTTTCATCTTTCAAAATATAAGTCACAGGTTTTTTATTCTTAACTTCTGCTATTGTAAATAGCTCCCCTGTCCAATTTGGGGTATATCCTTTACTAAATACATGTTTATACTTGGATATCCTTACACTATCACCCACCTTGGCTTTTTAACTTGCACTTTAAAATTCAACCTCTCATGCACATTTATTATTCTTAACACTCACTTGGTTAGGCTTCATTCCTATGGACCTATGCACCTTATTATTATATTTTCTTATTAAGTTTGGAAGTAAATCCAACCATTTATAACTTCCCTGAGCACTAAATTCCCTATATAACCAATTCTTTGAAGTTCTCTGGAACCTTTCCACAATTGCAGCCTTAGTTGTAGAAAAAATGTGATAATAATTAATATTTAATTTTTTTCATAATAGTCCATGAAAATTCTGGCACACTACATGGGTATCAACTTTTGATTGTAAACAATATTACCACATAAAAAGATAAAAAAAATCTAAAAAATAACATTATTTTATATGGGTTTGTAGGTGAGTGATGCAAAAGAGTTTGTTTTAGAAAATATATGTGGATTTGAAATGTTTATGGAGTTAGTCGTTTGTATAGGGATGTAAATGCAAAGATCAGGGTTTTTGAAAAAGTGGCTAAAAATGATCCCCATGTTATTCTTATGGGGATAACGCCCCAAGTGGGGTCATATTCTCCTATTTTACCTACTAAAAAACGTCCAAACCATATGTTTATGTTATTATTGGTTCGAGCTTGTGGCATCATTTGTTTATGTTTAAGTCAACAGCTGATCTTATGCCTTGGTTTTTTGAGTCAAATACTGATTCCATAAGAATTATATTGACATTTTGAGAGCCTGTGGGGCGGATTTATTAGAGCGTTTTTTAACGCCATATAGATGTTAGCACTCACCGATATGGTCTAAATAACCATGCAAAATTTAAAAATTATCGCATCAGCCGTCTAGGAGGAGTTTGCTTATTACGAAATGCATAAAAAGTCGTGATATAATACTTATATTTGTGTTTTTTTTTTCACGTTAATCACTGTATTTGTTGTTTTATTAAAATATTGCAAGGTAAAACCCAGGTACAAATCACACATGAACACTACTTAGAAATGTTATATTCTACAATTATCTCCTGTACACTAGTGATGGTGCCGAAGATTGTGGCAAATGCCCAAATGAGGATGATGACGGCGTCCTTGATGATGGTCAGTCCGAAGGGTTTGGAGATGACGTCCCAGTAGGTGACCAGCTCTGTGATCGTGGGCAGGAGGAGGCCGAGGCCGGAGAAGCCGATGGCGCCGACCAGGGACAACACTGGACTCAGGTTAGGCACGGCAATGGCAATAGCCACTGGAACATGACGTAGGCTCAGTAAGACATTCTGATATAATGTGTGAGAAAGAGGCAGGAAAAAGAGAAAGAAGAAGAAAAAAGGATACCTATCCTTTTTTCTTCTTCCGATATGGTAACCACTGGGCTAGCAGCATACCTATGTTGCTAGCCCAGTGGTTACCATATCGGACTTCGGTGTGGGAGGGACAGGTTCGATTCACGACACATCCATATTATGTTTAAGGGTTTTGACCGTTTTCCCTCAAAAGTTTTTCAATTTACTCAAATAAAAACTCTAGTGTGGACACAAACAAAATACAAAAAATGGAAGTTTTAGCTGTAACACTATTCCCTCAGTCAACCAGTCGATGTGGAGCAGTCTTCATCGTGGGCTTAAGAGGTCAGTGTAAATGCTTGGTCTTCTGGTGAAAGATGCATAAAAATGTCAATATGTGCATTACTTACGTACTTACAATATAGGGCCTAAGATGTTTTTGTGGTATCATTCAATAGTCCCACTTTTACTAGAGATTTCTTACCTTACAGAGGAGGGCTAAACACCTGGTATTGTAAATAGTGTGGTTACCATTTGACACGGCTCCACCGAAAGGCCAAACGTAAGCTGCTTTTGAACACCAATTTCAAAGTGTTTGTTTCCCAGCTAACACTAGGGGATAATAGGTGTAACTGGCATCCAAGAGCAGACAATATGTTGCAAGCTTGGTGGGTGGTTTATCAAAGAGAGATTATGGACAAGATTAAGATTGGCGAGGGGTGAAGAAGTATAGGGAGTAAAATTTTGGGACTGAGATACATTTAGCATTCCTAAAAAGGATCAAATTATTTTCAATTTTAACAGTACTTCACAAAAATGTTTCAAAACTAATAGTCATAAAAATAATAGTATCAAAATATAGTTTGATGAGTTAATTATTAAATTGTCTACAATAACGAATCATCTTCTTGCTTCGTTTTTAAAACCATAGATAAAACATGTTTTATCTATAGTTATGGCTTAACGCAAATATTATTATTGTGAAATTGGCGTGGAAAATAATGAACTACTACAACAATTATATTTTCAGTTGAAATACTACTTAGCCAAATATACATAGCGATATGGCCCATTTGCAAATTGCTTATTCTAATAGGACTTAAATCTTGTCTCCGAGGCAAAACGAAACATGGAATGTTCTTTCTTTTAATATATTATGTTTGTTTAAGACACTTGTTAGGTGGATAAAACTACTAATTACAATTAAACAAATAGGAGACTACTTAAAATCCGTTTTTATAAATTTTGTTTTTCACAATTTAATTTAATTTAATTGATTAATTATTTATGAATTAACACCGACGCCGAATCAACTTGGTAAGTAGTTTTGTGAAGATTATTTTGATACAGGTGAATTAATAGAATCATAGACAAAAAACAATTTTTTTTGTCTATGATAGAAAATAAGATTTTATTAACAAGTTAGCATTTTTGTTTTCTAAAAGTGTTTAAGGTTTAACTCTTATACCATGATTGCTGGCATCTCAATCAATTGCGAATGCTAAATCCACTTTACCTACTAATAACACTTAAAAATTGACATCTTCCTAAGACTGAACCTCCTTGTTTCAACGGGATTATACTTTGTACAAAAATGAGATTTCCACTAACCTGTTCCGATGATCATAAGAGATCGTACAATGTAGTAGCCTTGATCCTGCTTCTTCTCAGAAAAGCACTTGGATGCTCGCTGCCAGACCACTTCCATAGAAGCAGTCAGCTGTAGAGGGTAGGTCAAGAGAATGGCCAGCGCGACTAAGATCTTCACCGCCTCAGATAGTCTAAGCATCAAACATCAAATATTTGGTGATATAATTACTATTTCAGGGTGTTCTCTGGTTTAAAAATGTTTAGACTGTTATAGTTAGTGGGTACACGGCATTCTGAATTTCAATTCAAGTTGGCGGATTATATTGATTGAAATATAGTTCGTGATCGAACATGCCTCTATTGTACATGCTCTCAACATTCTAAAACTAATTTGTTTACAATGCTTGTGTGATTTTCTGTTCTTAACATATCAGACCTCGCAATAGATGGGGAAAATGATTTTTTAACAATTTTTAGAAGCAAAAATCACATGTAAAAAAACGAATTTACGGATTTTCTAAATGATTTTATAAGTATTCAAAGAAACCATTACGAAGTTTCAGTTCATAGTTTCAATCTTTGTGGATATTTTATAGTCTAATTGGACTCGGTAAACACTTTAATAATGCCACAAGTTTTTTTTTGTTTTTTGTAGGACTATGTTTACGCGGTAAACAACCCTTTTAAGTGAAATCTTTGGTCACAATATTATAGTAAACAGACTAAACATTTTTCAAATCACATTCTATCCTATACCATGTATATGTCCTGAAATGGATATTCAAATCAAAATATTGAAAAAATTAATCCAATGTAAAGTAGTTTACATCATACAACTTATGCTCAATGTGACTTACAACAGATCCATGTTAAATTCAAAATCGCCTCTACACAAAAAGTTATTTTTTTTTCAATCCCAAATACATCATTTTATAATTTAATCGATGTTTATTTCAATTTTTTTTTTTTTTGTATTAGCTAAGCCATATAGAGGTGGTCATGGCTAAACACGTAGTTTTAAAATTAGTTTAAGATGATATTTTGATAGCTTGTGTAACACATTTGGCAATTTCTTAAATTGTGTACAACAGAATTCTGCACTTATATAATTAAAAAAATATTTTTTTCATGAATCTAATCCGTCTAAAAACTAAACAAAGCATTTTTAAATAAAATATTTTGAGGGCCAGTTATCTTTGAAGGGTGCACTCTACTGAACATAATGTTTGCTCCACGTTTCAAAGGGCTTCTGTGTCAACATAGCTTTGGCTAGCTTGAAACCGATATTTGGGAACCATAATGCTACTTTGCAATGCTTCGCATATTTTTATTTGAATTTAAATAAAAAGGCAGAACAGGATTTTTTCATGGAAGATTACAACTAAACTTTAAAATGTAATAACTAATGTCTGTCGTGTCTATTACAATAATAATTTTAAAGTTGTAAGAACACATAACCTTAAATAATTTTTTTTAAGAGGTTGGCGGCCTCTTTTAACCTTGCATTTGCCCGTCTACATAGACTACAGATCTGTACGTGGAACGTATCCAGCAAAGCAAGGGGTGAGCCGGTACAGTAAAGGTGAACTGTACTGATAAAAGTTAGTGGCAGTGACCAGGATCCGAACCCACGACACTACTGTCTTGGGCCCGAAGTCCGCGACGCTACCGACTGAGCCACCGACTCACTAAACAACAAAACAAAAGTTGCTCCTAGCCAAACTCTTATATGAAACAGCCATCCTTTTAACTGAAAACAAAACATCATCCACAATAATTAAGAAATTCAGATCTAAAAGTCTTGTCTGCTCTATTACATTTCCCCACACAATGATATAAATACAATAAATAACGTTCGGCCACTTTACCACTTATGAGGCATTATTTAGGCCTATAAAATGCTTTACTGCTTAGAATATTGCAAACTATATCAAGAAACATTTTTAAGTTAATCTTTTTTTATCTGTCTAGCACTAAAGTTACATTAGGAAAGAAAATACGTGTGTCAATCTTTATATTCGGAAATATATTTACATAAGTTTATAGGGGAAACAAGAAATTCTATTTATCTCGGTATCGTGAGTAAAAGTTCACTTAACCATATTTGAACACAATTATAATTAAAATAACCTAACCGTCGAGAGAGAAATAAAATAAATAATAATTAGTTTTCATCTTTTTATTACCCATTGGACTATGCATAGACTCCAGTACCCGAAAGCGTATAATCAACATACTTGTTATCAAGGGACCCACACTGATCGTGTTACCGAGGTACTTACGGATCTTGTGGCAGGTTTAGTGTGATGCTTCCCTGGACGAGGTCTCCGTACTTGATATAACCTATGGCACCCATGACTAGGAACACCGTGGCGACGACGCTCATACCCAAGTTGAGCACCCCAGGACACCCGAGGAAATGAGACGGGTATCGCATTGCATTCTCTATCGGCATAACCTAGTGACATAACAACAGTGCCATCATGTCTATTTAGGATAGTTTACCCTTAACACAAATAACTGTTCTTCGAAGTAATGCATGTGTGTGTGGATGTATATAGAGCTATAAACCAAACCTATGGTCCGATTTGTATTAAATTAGGTATATGGGTACAAACCCATGGTATTTCCAGGTGTTTTTTATTTGTTTGAAACTTTGATTTTTATAGTGGGTTTTCCACAAGAACCCATAATAAAATTACGGAAAACTCATATTTTTCCGACCAATTTAGTTTAAATTTAGGATATTATAGTCCTTTTAACTCTGAGCAAAGTGATTCAACCCTCATTGCTGTAAACATTACGGTTCAAAAGCCATTCCAACTGCTTTACTATGATAAGGGTTGCTGACAAGCTAAAGGGAGAAAGTGCGTATGATGTGTTAGTTTGCTACCGCTACCTTTTTTGAAAGGCTAAAATCCAAATGCTACGGATTAGTAACTTGTACAAACCAACAAAGTACCAAAATTTCTTTTACTTACAGTTCCAATGCCTTCCATTCCGAACAGAGCTGTAGAGAAGAAGAGAGGCCACCTCGTTACTTCAACGACCAGAGGCCGCGACGACAGCGGCGGCATGTCGATGAAACAAAAGTAGAGCGTCAGTGTGCAGCCGATCAGCAGAAACAGGTTGGCCAGCGCGCTGAACGGCACGAGGAACTTGATGTGTCTGACGATACCGATGGGCAGCAGCAGGACCAGCAGGATCAGCGCGTACCACCTGATGTTCATCGTGTAGTCCAGGTGGTTTTCCAGCACCTCGGGGTAAAAAATCATCAAGGTCGGGTTCCAAATCAGTTCACGGCTCTATGGGTACTTTGGTATTATACTGACCACACCTAATAACCTAACCTAACCTAAGGGTGGACTTTGTTTTAGGTTATGTAAGAAATATTTTGTTATTTAAACTAATTAAAATCTTATTTGAAAGTCGATTTATCGGTGCAGTTAGTATAGGTACCATAGTATCACACTATGTTTTTTCATCGATTTTTATACTATAACTTGGTTACTGTAATGCTCAGAACTAAGCTAGAGTCAGTACGCACCTACCGGGGAGACACACACTGTACCCTGTCATACACTTCACCAGGAGCACCAGGTGTTCTCATTGTTAAAAACTTATGTTTATTGTCAATCACTCCATTCAAATACAGCGTTCAACGTTGTACTCGTCATTTAATGAAAGTACGGAGATTTTGCTTATGATATAAAAACCATACCATAATCTCTGCAGTTTCATGCAAATTTAAAGTGTAAATTAATTTAAAATCAAGCTCAGTTGAAATTATTTTAATTGGTTCACGCTTGATAGAGCGTCTTTTGTAGCGCGAATATGGGAACGAAGTAAAGGGTAAAGAGCGACCGAAAACCAAGCACAGAGCACTCGATCCAGTTGTACCCATAGAAGTGTGGTTAGTATAGAGATCGATGTGTTTTCTATGTGTAATGTCTTATGTGTAGATTATTATTAACTTGTCTCATAAATGCGTGTCACTAGACTTTTAAAATCATGTTTAAACGTGTTGATGAGCATTTTTTCAATCATGAACTTGGGGCACATATTTATTTCAAAAGTAAAAAAAAATACCGATACGGAATGTATTGGTGAAAAGATGTAGTAAATGGTGTTTGGCATGAAAATATTTTATTTCTGGGTACAGCTTGGGAGGCTATGAATGTGATAACTAATGTAAAATACACCATTAGGTTAAGGGTACAAATTATCTCGTTCAACACACATTTTTACAACTCGTGTTTATTTAACTTGGTAGGCTATACCAGCCTCCAAATTGTATACAGTCTAGATATAGAAATTAACGTACGTAATGAAAAATGAATTGATTTCACTACTTTGTGAATTGATTTCACTACACTATGCATTTTTTTGTTTTGTCGGAAATTATGTTACTTTAAAAAATAACCTAAGGCGTAAATGTTTTTGAAGGAGATATTTTCTGGATTTTTGTTGTTTGAAGGGTAGTTTTTACTTTGTCCCCCTATCCATGGTATATGATATCCATATACCATGGTATCCATGTTATATGGAGAAAGTATTGTTTTCGTCAACATTTCTGAGTTTGAGTTTTTAGTGGACATATCGAGTTTGGCCCTCCTGAACCCAAAGAAGAGGTTTTTACAATGATGTGTGTCCGCGTGTGTGTGTGTGTCTGTCTGTATGTGTGGATGTGTACAAATCTGTACTACCCATGTAGTCCAATTTTGATAAAATTTGGTATGTAGGTACTAATCCATGGTATCTCCAGGTGTTTTTTTTATTTAGACTTTTAATGGCTATTCCCCCAATAAAACCCATAAAATAACCGAAAAATCTAATTTTCTCAAAAATGGCCTGAACGATTTTGATAAAGATTGTAGCCCTTTAAGTTCTTAACAAAATGGTAGAACTCCCTCATATTCCTGTGAAAATTACGGTTCAAAAGTGATTGCAAATTTTGCGATTTTACGTATATAGGTTATTGACAAGCTAATAGGAGATAGTATATGTCAGATTGCTCATACCGTTTATTTAGATATGGTGTAAAACTAGTTAGTTACAGTAGCAATTTTACATGGGAAAAGATGCTCAGTGAGCAAATCAAATGTGTCTAAAACCCATAGTTTCATCATTTTACGTACATTGTGTCCCTTAAAAATTAAATTCGCAGCAATGAATGTTGAACAGGAAATATACTGTTAACATTGTAAATACATTGTCCTAAACATTACTCACAACAACAATACAATGAACTATACTTAGATGGCCTTAATAAGATTACATTTCCAAAAAGCCTGATAGCTGATTATGTAACTAAAGCCCCGTTTACACTAGCATGAAGAGCTTAAGTTTTATTTGCATCTAATACGAAGGAGTGATTATTATATCCTATACTCTTATATGAGCAATGTTTGCTTGTATGTATGCTTGCACAAAGATCTCAAAAACTGCTTCGACGATTGCTTTTAAATGTTGTAAATTATCGTTTTCTAGCCTAAAACCGTAATTGACGACAGCCACTACCTCAGGAAAGTTCGTATTTCGCTACACAACTCATTTAAATAAAAAAAAATTACATTAGCCTCATGGGTTGCTAAGTAGCTATGTTGGTTGAACAAAATAACAATGATAATAACAAATAACAAGCCAACCACAGTATACCACAGTCAAGATTAATCTATTTAAGGGAAAATAGTTCCGATCAGATACTGATTATTTTACTTGGCTCTCTCCTACCAAAACTAAATCCCCGTAGTACTGAGGCAATTGTTGGTGAACTTTTGTTTAGCAATGGAATAAATATTTAATAATATTATATTTATTTTATGTAAATTAGGATTTAAACGAAAACAATAATTTGTTTTTATCTAAACAAACTGTCAAAATTATAGCAAGTATAGCAGGTTTTAAACGAGTGATTTTTATCATCGAATGTAAAATAAAATAATGTGTTGTGGATTGCCTGGTCAAATTTTCCATCGTAATTCATTAAAACTCCACTGAAACTTAAATAATTAAGTCAAAAAACTAGTTGTAAATAAAACTTGAGTTTCTTTATATTGCTTTTACAATATAAATCAACTATACCGAACCCGTGCTCGGTCCCCCAATACTGTTTACGTAACTGTCAACTGTTCTGTTTGTTTGAGGCATCACACGTATATTGTACATGACAGTTTGGTAATCCATGGACAAGCAGGAAACCCTTTGCCGGCTTACCTTATTTGCAAATGACGTTTTGAAGCAGGAAATCCCTTTGATTGGCATCAACAGATTTAAAACTAACCTTGGTCTAGGTTGTAACAGCTTATTCAAATAAAAGTTCTCCTGTTTGATATTTTCAACGGTTACTATAGCCTACGTATATTTTTTACAATATTAAATTCTAGAACGCTTTTTTGTGCTTCATTGCGTTTTATTTCTTAATATTTTAGTTTATGATAGTTAATAATATTTCTGTTTTATCAACCATACCATGTTAGGTTAGGTTAGGCTGGATTAGGTTAGGCTAAGTTAAGTAACCAAACATTGTAGATTATAGTAAACGTATTTTTTTTCCAACCCAACCTAACCTGTCGTGGCAAATCTTCAAATACTTAAATAGACAGTTTTTTTTATCTTAAAAAACAATACAATTACATTTGTAGTTTTTATGTTGGCCTGTCCTTAAGCTAATGAGTTTGGAATATATGTATTTCATTAAAGTAAATTACATAGAAGAAGTATGTTGTTATAGTCAAACTACCTGTTTGAACGAAGATGCGATGAGGATCACATACACAGTGTTCACCCCATAGTAGGTGATGAATAAGAAGAAATTTGACACATACCTAGAAATCAATTAACATTCATTGATAGTAGGTGATAAGTAAGACGTTTGACTTATACCTAGAAATCAATTAACATTGCTCAGTGATAGTTGGTGATAATTAAGAAGAAATTGTACACATACATAGAAACCGATTAACACAGTTCAGTGATAGATAGTGATAAATAAGAAGAAGTTTGACACATAACTAGAAACCAATGAACACTAGTTAAGTTTTCATGTTAATACCTGAAATTGTAATTAACAAGTTAGGGTAGAGAAAACTAATTTTCGTTAAACAGTACCGGATATAGCTATTACATTACCGACTTGAAGTACAGTACCGTTTGCTCACATAATAATTTGTAAAAGATTCATAACTTATTAACAATAGTTTCAGGTGTCGCTAGTTTTAAGAACCGCAGATTTTTAATGAGTAATTATCCTCTTACGACGGATGTTTTTATTTAGTTAATGCTGTTTTTAGTAAATAGGCGATTTTCTTCGGTCAGGCTTGAAAACAATATTTTTATTTTATTCCGTTTATTGTTTTACTGTTACAACCAGTGCATGACTAATTCCCCTTGCAGTGGAAGACCATATGAAGATGAGAATTATTACAATGTTGCACGATTTATTTATAATTAAATTAATAGGTAACACACTTAGCTGTTACACGTTTGCTACTCTAGTACATTGCTTTGTAATACATATTATTTTACAACCCATTAACATCTACATAACTGGTGTGATGGAGGATAGTAAAGTTGATTCGAGTATTATGAGTGGTATTGATCATTGAAGATTTAAGAATGTTAAAATTATATTTAAGCTTAAAAAGGTTACAATCCTGTAACTAATAAATGCACTCTAAGACCATGTTTTTATTTAATTTTTTTCAATAACTTTAGAACCAAGGGGAATGTTTCATTAAACATCAAGCCCACCAATTGTTTTTAATTTTCACAGAATTAGTTTCAGCTATAAAGTTTCCATTATTTCATTTTACACCAACCGTTCCTGGAATAAAGGGGATACACTCTGGTGGAAAATTGAAATTTAATAGACCGTGAAATAAGCAGCTCTGAAATTTTTAATTGAAACTATTAACACGTGTTTTTTTATAATCCATAATATCCTACTCAATCAACTCAATTTGAATTCATTGTTGTGAATTTTAAGATTTGGCTACACTTCTGTTCAAAATGCATAGAGAGGTATTTTTTTTACAAAGAGGTCCTTGTTTTTTTAAAATATTCGAATATCTTATCAAACGACAGCGAACCATGGATAGTTAGATATTTGTTTGCTTTAGGTGTTTTTGTTTTCACAAAAACAAGATTGCCAACCTTGGGAGTTTAGCTAAAGCATAAAACGGTAAATAATCAGTGTTGATGCATAGAGTTAGAAACACAAAGGGTTATGTGCATATTTATAACAAAGATAATAGCTTTGGGTGAGGAAAATTAACTTGCTTTTCATAAACGATAATTCGTAGTTCTGCGTCGTTCACACAGCTATGACAAAAGAGATATGTCTGTTCTCATTTGTTGTTATTTGTTCGGTTGTTCTTATTGTATTGTGAGTTCAAATATTATAAATGATTCCTTCAATGAGATGGGTTTTGATTAAATTTACCATATCCATTAAAAATTATGAATTCTTTGTAACAGATTAATGCTATTTTAGGTGGTCTAAACTGTCTTGTGACGTTGTAATAAAATAAAATAGAACAATTATATAAATACACTGATGTGTTAGGAATACCAATATTTCCATGAAGTGCGTTTAGTTACTTACACAAATACCAAAATACGCACCTCATATTGACTATAAATTTTTATAAATGAGTAAAATTGAAAAATGTTTTAAATTTAAATGTTGATTAAACACTACAAAGAATATTTTAGTACTGATCATTCGCTCACAATGTATATGTACAAAGGTAATACAAACTAATTACTTTGCTCTTGTGAATAACTGAGTGTAAGAGAACAAACCAAAGTGCAAAGTGGACTACTCAGTTATTAATTTAGTCACTAATGCTATACTGTAATACGAGCAATAGAAAGTTTGAGACAGTTTAGAAACAGTTTGTCCGTCTGTCTGACTGTAATATACAGTATATCTCGAAATTTAGTGGAAGGATTTTGAATAAAGTTTGGAATTAGGAAATTAAGAGCCTAAAAACGCGATTGGTAATATCCACTACCTCAAGAAAATTCGTATTTCTCTACACATCTCATTTGAAAATTTAAAGATTTAACATTAGCCAAGTAACTACGTCGGTTGAACAAAATAACAAGGAACAAGTAAACTAAAGACTTGTTACATGTGCTTATAACAAGCCATCCACAGTAATCCAGCAAATTACAAAATACAGTACAAAGGGAAAAAAATCAGTTGTAACTATTGAGCAATGATTATACTGAAGATTAATCGATATATGGGGAAATAGATCCAATCAAATACTGATTATTTTACTTAGCCTTATCCCAACAAAACTTAATCCCCGAAGTACTGAGGCATTCTAAGTGAACTAATCACATATTGGGGTTTTAATTCTCATATAACTATTACCGTATGCTAAATCCCTATAGAAAAACAGACAGAATCTCTATTTCTTTGGAAGTAGTAGTGGAAAATTGTTTCACAAGCCATTTTGACACTAATATGATTTTGTTTGTATTATATTTGTATCTGCTGTCATTGGTGAGCGTAAATGTCGAACAACGGGTTTCAATGACTAGAGGGGAGAAAAATGATGTGCGAGCAGCACTTAAACAATATCTTATTTTGTTTAATAGCATACTTTAACATTACAGAGTTGTTATTATTTCAGCAATCAAATTTCTTCTATGTCAAATGTAGGTTTGTAATTCTTTTCGTAAATAATAAAATGTATGTTTACGATATTGTTTTATCGATTAAATCAAATTAACCACAACCGAGCAAAGCTCGGTCCCCTGGCACTCACACTATGAATTAGTTATAGCTTCTTATCACTATCTTCAGTTCGTACTTACGTCATGAGTTTGCTCCATTTTTGAAAACGACCTTTCGCTCCAATTGTGAACGCCGCCTCCACTGTTTCTGTGTAGCTCATCGCGAGCTTGCCTTGTTGATAACACAGCTCTTGGGAACATTTCACCTAAAAGTGAAATCCGTCTCTATTGTATTCAAATACAAACATACGAAGGTGTTAAATACCTACAAATTTCACGTGTTAAGTGTATTGTTCTTAAAGTTGAATAATTTTTCGTACTGAAAAACAGTTACAAAATCCAAAATGATTACAAAATGTGCACTTTGTGTTTTATAGAAGAAATAGTGATGGGTAGGAAATAAAACTGTGAATCGCTTTTTGCAGGAATATTTTATTTAAGATTGGAGATGTATATGAACAAATTGCTTAGGCCAATATTTTAAATGTCTTGTGGACAAGATTTTTAAGTATTTCCAGGAGCAGCAATTGGTGCTGTCGTGATTTGTAAAAAGAAAATGTTCTATTATAACATGCATAGTTATTTTTTGACAATTATTTATAAAAGTATTCACAAATATGTGAACAGGTTAAAATCAAAATTACCTTTTGGTTTAAAACAGTAAATATGTATAAAATTGTTTGTTTTGGTAAATCCGGAAATAGCTCCATACAACACATTCACACAATAACGAAACAACTAAATTTTAAAATTTCAAAACGTATTAATTAATAACATGTTGTGAAATGATTACAATTTAAAGTTCAATTAGATATATTTAGCTGCAAAGCTATGGTGGGAAAGCAAATGTTTCCCACATACCAGAAGATCGATGGATAGTTAGTGTTTAGTTAGTGCAGAGTTAGTGCAGAAGACCTTGAAAGCTTTATGTAGCTAGAGAGCAAGTGAAAAGCCAGGTTAGAAAAGGTAAAAATCGCTTTATGTTCAACTAGTTTAATTGTTAAAAGTTTAGTGCCAAGAAGAACAATTATATTATATATTATATATTAATTATATATTAATTATATATTAAGCTAGAATGAGAAAGAGAAGAAGTAAGCATATTTAGTACATCAATGGGGTGTGTAAATCCATAAACCGAATACAAGGTGTTAGTGCTACATTTTTAGGGAGAAGTTCATCCCAAGACGCAGATATCAAATCAGATATCAAATGGAGGAAGAAAGAAACAGAAGAGATAGCCACAGAAGAGTGAAGAAGCTAGTAGAAGAGAGTGAAGCCTCTGAATAAAACGCTACTGACCACAATGTAGGTACAATGAGTACACACTAGGGCCACCAGAACTGTGCCTGTGAACCCCATCAAGAGGCCAATGTTGTGGAAGGCAGAAGGCATCGCCAGGAATCCAGAGCCAAGACTGCTCTTGACGACGTGCAGCAACGCGCCAAAGTCCCTGTCACAAACACATTAGTAAGAGGTATGGACTGACCACTATATGGGTGCAGTGGGCACAAACGAATGCGATGAAGATCGTACTGAAAGTTCCGAACAGGAGGCCGATGTTCTTGAAAGCATTTGGCATCGCGAGGAACCCTGAGCCACAACTGCTTTTGACGATGTGTAATAATGCTCCCACGTCCCTAGGAAACAGACAAGAACAGATTAACTTCCCTTTATCCTTGTTGTTATGAGCCAGAACTTAATACCATACATGAAAATAATATAAACGTAATGCACTTCGCCATATCCATAGAGGATACAAGGCCGCGGAGAGACAAAAGTGGCAACGCCGCAGTGCCGGCCTCCCGTAACAGCTGTGGCACCGATTCACGATGTAGCGTCTGCGCAATGTTTATGTCTACACGTTTGTTGTTCTGTTATCACCACGACCATAAAGACCGGCCGGTGCGACGTTGCCACACACCAAAACTGCGACCTCGTATGACGGGAAGTTACGACTTTACTCTTATAATCAAATTGAACCATTTCATACATATTCATCAGAGCACATTTTTTAGATTTAAGTAGGCCTAAGTAAGGAAATGTATTTGATTGTCAATTGCCTATGTACAAAAGTAACCCTTGGGATCCCCTAAGGATTTAGTCTGAACTCTCCAATCGACTGAAAAAGCTACAGCAGAGCAAGGGGGATTAACACGTGAAATGCATGTTAAAACAATCAACCACTCCATCTTCATATCGTTGATTGGTAAAACGTTAGAATCTTGAGTTGGATTGAGTTAACAAGTTCAGTACCGCAATGATTCTGCAGTTCGCTGTACACGACTACTCGTTGATTTTTCGTTGTAACATGTGAATGCTGGGTCCTAGTAAGCTTTACGTTTGTTTAGACTACGAGGCAGAGTCAAAGTTCCCAGAACCGTTTCCAGAGACACCCAGTGTGATTTCCAGTGGTGAACATAGAGCATAAGTAGCATTTGGCATAAAAGCAATGTAAGCACTTGGTATCTCCTAGGGAGTGAATGATAGTAGTAATATCATAGCTTAACTGCAGTTATTTGTCGATGTAAGTCTTTGTCTACCTCTTATGTAGTTAAAGATTTAAAAAGTAGAATTTAAACGCAAACCCCTTGTTAAAACAATAAACTAATGTTCTTATCATCTTTATTCAGTCAAACCATGTCAAACTAATGCAAGTTTTATTGAAAGAAGATTACATAAATCCATAAATGGTGGTTCTCAATTCACTATCCAGTGATTAATCATTCCATTTTTTATGTCTGCACAAGTAATGTAATGTTTTTACAATTGTTACAACACGAGCAAAACGTGCCGGACTTTGATTGTAAAGCCACCTAGATTAGCCACCAGTGATAAAAATAATACAGGGATACGCGTTAGTATTCTAGGGAGTAAATAGACTCCCTAGAACACTGTACTATTAGTAACCCCTAATTAGTAACGAGAACGTTGCGCCGTTGCAATTTTTTGACGATCGGTAAACTTTGCTTACTTTTATGTCGATGTTATCGATTTTAATGACTTGTTATGAGCCGTAATCAAAAATTTGAATATTTCCACGTGAAAGTAATGTTAGCTCTTCTTTACACTACTAAAACAATTAAACTGTACGGCGAAAACCTCAGACACAAAGCAATGAAAGTAATTTAAATTTATCTCACATGATGAATTTTGAACATATTTTTGTGATCTACGCCAGTGATGTTTATTAACAATTTTTGTTAGGGAACGGTCCATACCCTGTTCTTATGCTATCTAACGTCAAACTAGAAAGTATAATTGATGGCCCAACGATTAAAGTCATCTGAGTCTGGTGACGATCTCACTTGGAATCAAACCAGCGGTCTTTAGAATTGAAGGTGATCAGTAAACTACTCATCTACCCAGATTGTTTTTAAACTACTGTTTATTGTTCCTCTTGAGACTTTATAAACAACAGTGTTTTAGCTTACAAGACACAAAAATTACTAAAATAATTGAAAACTTGGCTATTTCACTACCGATATTCACGTAAGCGTGATGCTAACTTTTAACTGGAACTTTCTAACTGAATCTCAAGATTTTCCTCAGGAACGTTTAGGGTGTCTTAGGAAACACATTCTGGTACCCTTTGAATCTAGGCTACCTCTTTAGTTTTTGACTGACCACAATATGCAGGCAATGGGCAGAGAGAATCCCACAGAACAATGTACCGAGGGTCCCAACAACGAGGCCGATGTTGCTGATCGCATACGGGGAAGCCAACAACCCAGAGCCCAGGCAGCTTTTGATCATATGCATCAACGCCCCATAGTCCCTGTTAGCAAATAGACACGTGGGTCAATTTTATGTTAACTTTGTCATAAAAAAACAAAATAACGTTGTTGGAAAACATGTGAAAATCCTACTTTTACTTCGTCATCAACAGTTATGACTTTGCTAAATTTCGTGCGAATCGCTTCAGCCGTTCAGGAGTATTGTAAAACAAAGGCAGGAGTGTAGTAAAAGAGCTTTGCTAAAAAACATCAAATTTAAAGATGTTATCCCCACGGCAACATGGCGGCTTGACGTCATGCAATTCTCTCACTCAGTGTTACCTCCAGTTATATTTCTAGCTCAGTGTTTGTTACTGACCAAAGAACTTCGGAAAAAACTACATTATAGGTTAACCCCATGTGATCAAGAATAGCTGGGCCCAGGGCTGTTAAAAAGTGTTTCGAAATACTTTCAGCATCAATTCAATACATCGCACTATTAAGAATACGCTGCTATCATATATGTATCCCATGATTTACACTATTGTTTGCAATTGTTCAGCCAATGAATAAAGAAATGTAATTACACTTAATTAGCATAAAGCAATAGAATAATCACACAAATAACTACAAACTTCAAGAGGCCTTGGAAATTTGTATTTCAATAAAATAACCTCTGATATAAATTCACTATAATCAGATCAGTTAGTTCCCATTGATTATATCTGTTGAACTATCAATAAATGTTATCCAGAACTTATGTGTAGGAGATCAGTTTTACAAGTAATTTTATCGGTTTTTTTAATAAAACATATACTCACGATGTTCTTAGAGATCCTTCTCTTTCGGCATTCTTCTCCCTAAGTTTATCTTTGCTTTGCGTGGTTTCATTTGTTGTGAGATGTATTCTGAAAAAAATTCACTCTAGATTAATATTATAAGATTTTTATAGTACCTAGATACATCATTTGGTGCTAGGAGTGTGTACAATTACAATTGATTCTCTGATACTGTTTCAAGTATAATTTAAGTAATATAATAAAAAAGTATATACATCAATTCATTCGTATGGGAAACAAGTTTTATGAGTTTGCAGCGCATTTATCTAACTAGCTAATTTATTGTACAAAAAAGCGAATCTGAGAATGTTAAAGTGGAAAGCTCAAATCTCAAGCGCATAGTTTTATTTTTCATGCATATTCCATATATTAATTCAAAGCAGTTTATAACAATCTAAATCTTGTTGAATTTCAAAACATTTTTTAGGTTTTAATTTATCATCCCAGTTGTACAGAGACATAATTGAATTTTTGCTGACCTTCAGAGTATAATTATATCGTTGATACTGTTTATCATTACAAACGCTGGATGTTCTATCATGCTAATGCATGATATACACCCTATCCCGCAACAATTCTCGTGTACAATATAAATGAATTACTGTAATTAATTACCCTAGAGCACAATACAAATCTCATATCACAATTAGTTAATCTAGGGTATTTTAATCTTATCCTTCAACTACCCTAAGGCATAATTTTAATTTTCTGCTGCAATTACTTAGGCAAAGTATTAAGAGATTGCTAAAATTATACCATTGCAAAGTATATTCTATTTAATTTTCGTGCTCCTTTTGTTAGTCACTATGTCTATATAAATCGTATGTCGGTATTGTCTAGATCACAATGTAAACCAGTTAAAGCGTACAGCAACTTCTTTGTTCTACAAAACTATATATCATAATAGTGTTAATTGTTTAGTGACTGATGTTTACATATAAATAACAAAAGGGAAATTTTGTTTTCTAACACCATGTAAATTGACCCCAATCATTATATAAGATGTTATTGAGTGTTTCGTAATAATACTATTATTTGAGCAAATTTTATAACCTTTTTGGTCACCTTACAAAAAAGTGGCTAAATGTGTGAGGTATTTAAAGATTGACGATTCAATCTAAAAAAGCTTATAATCTCTTTAAAAAAATGGTTGTAAAGGATTCAAACATACTTCATTTTTCAATTCCTAGTATAAAGTTTGTATAGTGTTTTGTTGTTTTTGTTTTTGCATGTTATGTTTAAATTATCAGTATGAATCCAAACCTAATACTAGATATATTAATTTCCCCGATTAAATAAACTCTTGTCTCCGGGAAAACTATCCTCATAAAATAAATTAACAATATATTTTGTGTTTTATTTCCATTGGGAAGGAGTTTTTGTTTGTTTGTTTTTAAATTGTCATCATGTGTTAGTTTTGAAATTTACAATCAATTGATTTGTGAACATTTTGTTGTAAAAAAATAAACTCACGACTTTCTTGCTTTGTGCACAATGGGCATTGATACGTAAATTTTCAAGTAAATTATCAACTCGGTAGAGCTTTGCGTCTAGCTAGTCGTCTGTTATAACTTAGTTACCGTTACTAAGGGACAAAAACCTTTGTTTACAGTTTGTAAACCACGTCATCCGGGAAATTCTATATTCAGAACTTTCATTCATGTATTAAAAACATTTAGTCTTTACATCGATGCCACAATTCCTCAAAAGTAATTATACAAATACGATAATCACTAATGAGTAAGCTGATAGAAAATAAAGTACACCTATTGTTAGCATCAATTATTCAAAATTGTAGACGCCACTATGTGCGTATTTTAATCCAAGTATGATTGAAGGATGAGTGTAGGATGGGTGGCGTGATCTTGTAGTCTTGTTGGTGACTAAGGCCGACATTCCTTAGACACAGATGTGAATTAATCGCCCATACAGCTAATGGCAACTAAGGTACCTACAGTTTTAAGTGGAATCCGAACCACATTTTTCCTTGTAACTGACGAATTGGTCTAATTATCAGGATAGTCGTAGTACTCACTAGTGCGGACGTTAACCCACACCAGGGAGTATCGCATCCAGAGTGCATACCAATAAATATCCACAATTCGTGACGTCCTAGTAGCTGGATTACAGGACGACGCCACCCGTCCCAGTCAATAACTTAATGTTAACATCAACTACTTTTTGGGCACTGTGAAAACAGTTTTAAAACCTTCCTATGACTCGTCCAACAACTTTAATCGCTTACTATTGCATTTTCCTACTACAATAATTAGTTACGAGAAGATCGTGCGAAATTGCGCATTTTACTAGGGTTCAAAATTTGTTTCTGATGCGAAACGTATGATACACACCCTCTACATTTTTCAAAGATAATTTTTTATAAAAACTGTTTTTTGGCGAGTAAAACTATCAATTTACGGCTGGACCACCTAATTAAATAACTTCTTAGGAAGCGATCGGCGAGTTATAGGCATCTCATGTCTTCCTACTGGAAAATATTGGTTACTAGTCCAGTCATTGAGTTGTGGAAGTTCGACAAAATTGTTTGAAAAGGTTTTTCAACGGATTTCAATACATTTATACCTCCACACAACACAAAAAAGTCTACCGAAATCTGACTTGGGGAAGTACTTGATATTAGGGTATTTAAATTAGAATAATAATTGCTAAAAAAAAAATAGTTAAAAACATTATTGCTAGATATAGGGTGTAGTATATCGTTTTTAAGGTTTACAAGGGTGGGGAAACTAAATCTGCAACTTAAAATTTGATTTGATCCCATTTAATGCCACAAAATTGCCGCCAAAATACGATTCATAGAGAAAAGGCTAAAATAAAACTTACCTTTACATATAGGGTGTAGTAAATCGAATACAATATTTACGATAATATAATAGTGCTGCACACTGTTGGTAAACCTTATAATTTTCTAATGCTATTTAATATCACGGAACCAACTTGTGCTGATGAAATGGCTGCCAACATTCTTTAATTCCTTTAAATATAAATACTCATAAGGTTAACATGAGAAACTCCAGAGCCACTGGGGTGGAGCCCGAAAGGATTTTTGAGGTAAGAATATGTCTATACGTTAGTCGGGAATGTCAGCTATCATCATACCAATTTTCAACCTTGATGGTTTAGTATTTTTCACGTTTACTTGTCACAAACATCCATTCATGCATCCATCCATCCATCTATCCATCCATCCATCCATCCATACAGACATACATCCATCCATACATCCATACATCAAAACTTTCTTACTTTTAATATTGGTAGGATAAGTAAACTGTTGTAATATTGCTTGTTTATGGATATATTTTATCAAACTTAGCAAAATTATTTATTTTATACTTAGTTAATAATATTTTCCTAAAAATCACACTTCGTTACCCTCCCTGTAGCAGCAAACCTAGGTACTCGTTTAACCTAATGTTATTGAATTAGATTTTATTGAAAATAAAGTGACACAAATGTAAATCTTCTTAGACTGCAGGTTTGCTGCGGCGGGGGTATTATGGAATTGTAATTGATGTGGAAAGAAGACTTTATGTTAGTAAATAATTAACTCTAATTTATATCAGATGCTAAATAAATAAATCCCGTTGGTCACAATTAGTAGCGCCGGTCGCTTGTTATTATTTGGCTGGCGTTACTGCAACCAGCGCTACTATTCGTATTTGCTAGCAGCTATACCCGTGTCTTGCAACGGGGTCAGTATGCGAAAGAGACAATGTTGGTTCTTTGAAAATACCAAATGGTTTCAGTCCTACCATTTAATTTAGAAACAAAATTTAACTGTACTTATTTAGGATACCTACGATACTAAACAAATGATAGATTTTAAGGTATAATAAAAGAACGTGTTTATTGGTTTGCACTGTGAACGAAAATAAATCACAATAGTTCCAAACCTGTATATAAGGTAATATTCTAACAAATGAAATTATAAGCAGGCATATGGAAATTCACTCAGTCTATAGGTTTGCTGTGGCAGGGGAACTATATTACTGTTTACACAAATATAATTACAAAGAAATTAACCACATAAAACTCAGAATAAGGGTCTAGGTTGATACGGCAATTATAGAATCTTAATTATTTCCTATATCCATTAATGATTTCTTTTACAATGAATTATTCCCTGTAAAATAGTATTACAGCATTTCACAAATATTAGAACAGACTCAGTATAACAGATAATAAACATTAACAAATGAAGAAACTGAAAGAATCCTATACTAATGAAATTACATCAACATTTGGTTTGACAGCTCCATTTAAGTAATGCTAAATAATGTTTACATTCGGGCTAGTGACATCATTATTTTAAATTTATAATACTTACCCTCTCTACCATGGATACACTCAATCAATATTTACTTTTAAATCTCTCACCTCAAATTTTTGAAAGCCCACGGGGCAGAGCCCTAGGTCAATTTCGAAATGGGAATAGTTCTATATGTATCCTCGGAACTGTAGCTTCATGTGTGTGCAATTTTAGCCCAATCAGTTCAGTAGTTTTTGAGTTTATCTCATACAAACACACAGACACAGACACCACCTCTTCTTTATAATAGTATAGATAGATAGATAGATATATAGATAGATAGATTCTTTAAAGTAAACAATAAATTAAATAGATTGATATATTTATAGTTAGTAGGTAGGCCATACATTCAATCTAATACAAAATTATATAAAAAGAAAATCAAATACAGTAAACCTTAGATTTCCCACATGCCTCGGTCTTAATCTGATATAAATGCTTGAAATAGATTTAACATTCACACTCATTAAAAACTAAAAAGTAGAAAATAATGTATGAATAATAACTTTTTTTAAACAAAACGTTTTTAAACGCACTAAAAAGTAGAAAATAATCTACTAATATGTGGAGAGTATAAATACTTGTAAGATTTAAAACAAAAAAACGTGGAGTGCATGCAATTGATAATAATACATTAGTTCAATAGGTGAAGGTAATTGTAAATTATCTATTGCATGCACCCCACGTTTTTTGTTTTAAATCTTACAAGTATTTATACTCTCCACATATTAGTAGATTATTTTCTACTTATTAGTGCGTTTATAAACGTTTTGTTTTTAAAAAAAGTTTTTATTTATAAATTATTTTCTACTTTTTAGTTTTTAATGAGTGTGAATGTTAAATCTATTTCAAGCATTTATATCAGATTAAGACCGAAATAAGTTTTTTATTTATAAATTATTTATTTTGGGCTTCCATGAGGTTTTAATAATATAAACTCCTTTAAGCCTTGTTATAGCGACCTCTCATTGAAAACTTGAACAAAAGAGTAACAGGGACAAGTTATGCTAGCAGTTTTAAAACAATACTTCCAATCTATTTAAACTGAATCTTTATAGCGTAGGCAGGATTAACATAGTAAAATATTCTTCCTTCCCAAAGACGATGTTACTGTATTTGGTAAAGACAGCAGAGGCATGTCATATTAAAACGTTAAGTAAGATCAAAGATCAGCCTAGGGCCATGTCTACTTGAATGCAAGACTTGGAATATATTATTTACTTCAGTTTGTTGTTTTTTTCTTATATCGACTCTTCTTCATGTCTCAAGAAAATATTTTTTTGCTCACTCATTTTAAAAGAAATTATTTTGTATGTTTTTTTTTTTAAGTTGCATCATGTTGAATGATTTATTAATATCTATATCTATATATTTAATAGGCCAACATGAATTTTGTGATAGTTAATTTAGTCGACTTTCGGTACAAAAGTTACACCATTTGTTGTGATTTTTAAGATATTTGTTATACTGAAACTAAATAACAGGATATTATTTTTAATGAGCACATGGTATCAATATCGAAGGAACAATAATTGTTTATTATCCAATTTCATTTGTTATAAGGTATGGCACGTGCATTCTTCTGTGTATGATTATTCATTTATGATAGGTGCTAAAGAATAATTATAAGAAGTTATTGGTATTAATTTAAATATGTTTTCAGCTCCGAAAAGAATAGTTGATGATATCGGAAGGTAGTATGGGCGGGCCCCATCATTTCTGGAAAACGCCATTGTTATGTTTCACAGGGATCTTGATATGTCGCCAGGCTTGATCAAGGATTGACTGTAGGTAAAGGAATGACTTTTGAAAAAGATTTGAAGGAAATGTGCAAACAAAATGAAAGGAGTCTTCGCGAAATTAGCAAGACAGGCCAGAGCCAATAAAGGCATCACTGGGAAGCATTTGATGACGCTTCATAAAAGAGTGTTGAGCCATCACTGCTGTAGAGATGCGAGTTCTGGGATAAGGATTCTAGGAAGATAAGATTGAAAAGGAAACTTTTGAGTGTGCAAAGAAGTGCTTTGTTTAAAGTTGGGGAATCATACAACACATTATTGCGTGACACGATTAGGGATTTGACCGTAGCCATACCACTCATCGACCTGCTCATTGAAGAAAGGATTAAGATTTTGGAAGACACGGAGTTGGGTAGGACTACGAGGGAAAGCAAGAGCGCCAGAAGAGAGGGGACATTAGATGGCTGATGCCCAGTTGCATCGATGGTCAAAGGAATTCGCAAGGGTCGACAAAGTCCTCCCTCCCAAGAGTGCCTAGTTGCACCGGCGGGCAACAATCTGTCACGCTTGGATGCTCCCTCCCCACGCTTCGAACGCTTATATAAACCTATCCCCTTTTTTACGTTCAATATTATATAGTCAGCGCTAAATATTTACCATATATAGGGAACTATAAAGCAGCTAACCCTTTCTTTGCTACGGGGTAAAGAGTAACAAACAAACATTACAAACACATAGACTGATATCAACACACTCTATCATATAATTTTGCCATAAAACGTTTATCTCTTTGTTTTGAAATATTTGTACTGAATTGAATTGTTTGTAAACCTAAGCTAACCTACCCGTTTACCGTACTAACTACGTTTAACAACATTTCATTGGGAGGGGAGGGCGTCAGGGATCTTTGACCGCCGGTGCAACTGGGCATCACCCTAAAAGGACCATCGGTGCAACTGGGCATTCGAGATTAGAAGAAAGAACCCTGGGTGAGAAGAAAGGAAAATGTTCACGGTTAATTGGCTTAGCAAATAAGTCCCAGACTTAAGCCAGGGGTGGTCACCACCCCTGAACGAAACGAGTGGCTTTGGTTTTCGTGGTGGAATTTAGGTTATCGTCGATTAATCAAAAGATTATCTTTTACTGAATATCACAAAACAAACTGCAAAACGGCACATAAACTGCCAACTCAATCAGGCCTTTTACCATCTCCACTTTTAACAACAAAACCAAGAAACCTGAAAACGTCAAGAGGCTGGCAGTAAGTATGATATTTTATGAAGGAAATTAAGTTGCAATAGCTTTTGAACCGTAATTTTACAGCAATGAAGGGTTGCACTATTTTGTTTAGAATTATAAGAACCATAACAGACTAATATTAATCAGAACTGGCTTTTCCGTATTATGTGGGGTTTTACGGGAAAATAACATAAGTTACCATAACTTTTGAACCCTAATTTTTACAGCATGGGAATTCCGTTAAAAATTTAAAGGACTATAACATAGTAAATTTCTATAAAATCGTTCAAGCCATTTTTTAGAAAATAGTTTTTTTGTAATTTTTATAGGTTTTTTGGGAAAATCACCGTTAAAAATTTAAGGGTCTAAAGATACCATAGATTATTACATAAATACCAATGTTCATCAAAATTGGACTACAGGTGTCTGTTGCTCTGTACACATCCACACATACAGACACAAAGAGAGAGAGGCAGACATTATTTCGAAAACATTTTTCTTTGTTCAGGGGGACCTAAAACGGATAATTCACTCAAAACTCAAACTCGAATTTTAACGAAAACAATGCTTTCTCCATATACTATGTACAGCCGCGGAGAAAGCAAAACATGTTTGACACAACAGTATTCGTGATAGTGATACATTGTAGTGTCTAATATTCCACGTATTCATTTTCGCAGGCACTATTTAAAGCTCGACTCAAGGTTGAAGACTGTTCGTTACTTTAGTTAGTTTCCCATATTGCATTAGTTAAACTATGCGAGTTTCAACAAAGGAATGTAATTTTACTCACGTGCTCGCTGTCTTGTCGAAGTTGTGTAGGTCGTAAGGCGGGGGCGAGGAGGGGGAGAACGACTTAGGCATTTCGTAGTCTTGGAGCACTCTTCATTTAAATTCTGTGAAAATATTACAAACTTATTACATATATAATAGCTTCCAATACAAAGCCGCCGTGTTGGTGTGTGGCCACTACAAAGTTTATCACCTTAACTCCTCTGCCTGTTTGTTTTTTAGTATGAACCATTGAGTGGCAGAAGGTGCTGTAACGGATAAATGGAAAAGTTTAGTCCATTGGAGTCCATGATTAGAGTTAGTGTTGATTTTTTTCTAGGTTCTAGAATGGATTGTTTTTCTATATTACTTCAGGCAAAGTCTAGGGAGAGTCGCTGCATTAGCATTTCGATAACATCCTTTGGTGAATGGTGGGATGTGAACCCTGGACCTCGGGGACCGAAGTCCAGAGTTACTAGACCAACTCGCTCACTAAATTAAGGGTTAAAATAGCATTTCAAAAAGTAAATAGAATATTGCTATGAGCAAGTAACTCGCTATATTATTTGTGCCATAACTAAAAGGGGGATTGTTTTCGTTTGCTTTTTAGCTCCATAAAATCCTTTAATATGAACTATTCACCAAATAGTCCCACATTTTTGTATATTGCGCCAGGCTGTTGGGATTGTCTCCACTTTTCCAATTCAGGCTAGATCTAGGGGTTGCGGCATAATCACTTAAAATTAAAATCCATTGGTGAGTTAACAAGATTGAATCCAGGACCTCAGAAAAAGACATCCCACACTAACACTAGACCAGCTCACCCCCGTGTCTGTACGGACACACTGCATACTGCATAACCATTGTGTTTGCAACAGTAAGCTGTGACGGGGCCTTAACAAGAGGCTCAAAGTGGAAAATTAATTATACTGCTTTAGTGTTGCCACAGTTTAGTAATTACTGCACTGTACTACTGTGAGGACACACGTCATTGCTAGGGCTTATGTTAAGCCTGGAAGAAAAGGTCGTGTCGACCCGTACTTCAGATGTCTATGAGTGCACATTGTAACACTTTTGAACTCAAATATACAACTCGAATACCTACCGTGAGGTCTTACGTCTGCTTAGAATGGGTCAGGGTGAATTTAATTACAGTTACTTTTCAAATTATAGAAGTAGCAACTATCCAGTCTAAGAATTTTGAATCCAAATCTTAATAAACGGTATCAACAAACTGACACATACTTTCTCCCATAAGCTTGTTAACAACCTTTATCATAGGTAAGCGGTGGGAGTAACTATGATATTCTATAAGGAAAAATCACAAAAGTTGCAATAACTTTTGAACATTAATTGTTACAGCAATGGGGAGTTGTACTATTTTTGTTTTGAATTATAAGGACCATAACACAATTAAAACTAATGTCACTAGTTTTAATCAAAACTGGCTTTTTTCCTAAAATCCGATATTTTGTTATTTTATAGGGGTTTCATAGGAAATAGCATAAGTTACAATAACTTTTGAACCGTACTTTTTACGGAAATGGGATCTGTACCATTTTGTTTAAAATTTTATTGACCATAACATACTAATTTTAATCAAAACCCACCTTTTTTCTAAAAGCCATTTTTTTCCTTTTTATAGAGTTTTTATGGGAAAATAACATAAGTTACAATAACTTTAGAACCGTAATTTTTACGGAAATGGATATTGTACCATTATGTTAAGAATTTAAAGGACTATTACATACTAAATTTGTATCAAAATCGTTGGGCCGTTTGAGAGAAAATCAAATTTTTAAGTTATTTTGTGGGTTTTTTATAGGAAATCACCATTAAAAATTTTAATTTCAACAAAAATGAAAAAATACCTGGAGATATAATGGATTAATACCTACGTACCAAATTTCATCAAAATCGGACGACAGGTGTGGTCTGCAGCTCTGTACACATTCACACGCACACACACACACAGACATCACTTCAAGATGTCTTAGTAATCAAGATGTTCAAGATGTCAATTGACCACTAAATTGAGGTCAATCAAACTTTTTTCATAGATTTTAGTGGTAAAATCTCAAATTAGTGACACATAACTAAATCTTCGTCAATTTGTTGTAACATTGTCGTAAAAGCTTTTATTTTCATACGTGGTTTATTAACATTTCTATTTTTAATAAAAAAGATGGGTTACCCCCAATTCTAAACTTTGTAGCGAATTTCCCGTTAACAGAACTTTAAAGTTGCATGCGCCAATAGGTTTACGATTGCGGGATTTAAATAACCCGGTAGAAATTCTTGGAAGATCACCACGGCAAAGTTTGCTGGTGTGTAGTCAATGTTTCAGTTTAACCGAGCGCCTGCAATCACTGATAGGCCGTGTTTGTTACATCACTGTGTTCGAACATGTCATTCATCTTTTGTATCATACAGGCGCTAGAAAATAACTCCCCGAGACACATTGATGGCGTGATTGAATAAAGTGGATGCCTTGAAAACTAGTAAATTTAGAAAAAATAAAATTATTCGAACTGCGAGTTTAAAATTATAAAATACATTTAGAAGATTATCTAGATTTGAGTTTTATTAACACGCCTTTGGAAGTTTAAATAGTACTAAAACATTTTATACATATTTAATAAATTAAGAGCCTGTATGGAAATGATAATTTCGCAATAACTCAATGCACTACAAATTGTTGGATTGAAACTTAAATTTAATAACAGTAAAGCAAAGTTTTAGTATATTTCTTAACAAGAGTAGAAAGTGAGTCATTACACATTTGAGACCATGTTTGAATTGCGAGATTTATCGAGCACTTTAAATGGTCTAGAATATGTATCACCCCACTTACACTCGTGTTTTGAACGTTACTTTACGCTACACTACAAAGAATAGTTATTTTCTTCGTTACAAAAATCGTGGATTTTTTTAGGTTATGCCTTCAATTTAAAGTTAATGTTTACTTTAGTTGTTGAAAATTTAAACAGTTGATAAAACAATACCAAATATTTGTTTACGTCGGCAAAATCGAAACAAAGGTAGTAAAAATTACTTTCGCATAGTAAACATTCTTTTTCCGTAGTAAACAATGTAATGATAGATATTCGCAGGTGTAAACATGCAACTAAAACATGTCATTTCACAATAGTGTAATATTTGATATTGGATATTACAGTGATATTTGATTCGTTGAAGGCATATTAAATTTTAGAAATCACATGGATCGAAAGTATGTACCACAAGTTTTAATCGGTCGTAGCTAGTTTTGCCGTGTTCTAACTTAGTTTGCTTCGATAATGGTTTCAATATGACGACGAATATAGTTCATCACACGGGCAAAAAGTGTCTTTTAAACCCTCGGCTTCGCCTAAACTCGGGCTCGGGTCAAAAAGAGTCACTTTACGCCCTAGAGATGGAATGGAATATTATACCATGTGTAAATAATAGTATAACAAATAAGCTCTGGTGCATACTAATTCTATTTACAAACCCATCATTGTTATTTCAATCCGTTAGAGTGCATTACCCTTCATGTGTACAGCTATCACCTATGAGCCATAGCCTGTGGTTGTGGCACAATTGAAAGATGTAATTAATAACGATAGTCTCGACGGTATTATTAGTGAAGCATTGTCTAACTGAAAAACAATAAGACCCTTTTTTGTGCATTGTTGTTTTTAGAAACTGATGTTTTAAAATTTTACTCATCACAGCTGAGTGAGAATGCATTTATAAATACCCCCACCGCAGCAAACCTGCAGACTAAGCGAATTTCCATTTGCCTGATTGGATTTACACTAAAATCTCTCCTTAAAAATATCACATTCATTCCCTATTTAAATAGAATCAGTTTAACACATACTTAGGTTTGTTGCAACAGGGAGGGTAAAAGTGTTTTTTATGTAAAATGTTAATAGTTAGTAAGAAATAAAAACATTTTCCAAATTTGGGCAAAAAATGTTAATAAACAAGCAAACTACAACAGTTTACTTATTCTCCATAAGAATAACATGGGAATTTTAAATTTACAATTTTTGGAAATTTTCTCCGTAAACATTAGGTGCATTATAACGCTTCAGTATACTAAATTAATTTTTTTTTAAGCTCTACAAAATAGTTTGGAAAGAAATAGCAAAATTTTATGTTTTTTGAGTCAAAAGTGGGAAATCCCCATTTTTACCCCATAAAACCCCCCATAAACCCCCGTTCCCATGGTCCGATCATGCTGGTTCGCGAACTCGTTCGAATAAACGTAGCTTTACACGTTTGTACAAAATTTCATCAAAATCGGATCGTTTTTGCTCGCGTTATCGCGCTAACGAACATATGTATATATAATAAGTATGGTTGTGATTAGGGCTACTACTATATTAATAATAGGAAACATTATAACAACATTAAGTACCCTTTTAAATTCATTTTAATTAAGAAACTTTTCTTAATGTTGTTATAATGTTTCCAATTATTAATATAAATAAATATATATATATATATATATATATATATATATATATATATATATATATATGAATTTGAACGGATGGTGTTTTTGGCCTCTAAAGAACCTCAAAATGAAAAAAAATCGGTCCCGGGTCCAGGTCTTACCATGAGTACTACGGTAATAGCTTATTCCCTATATGGGAAATTCGCTAAAAAGCATTGAAATACATGAATACACTCTTGGCAAATTTCAACCATATTCATAAGAAATATTTAAAATTGCATACTGGTGTGATTTGTCAGGTTTAGCGTCAACTAAACGCGTTAACCAAACTTGTTTGTTTTTTTTCTTTTAGATCTGCTACTTATTTGTATTTTTGGAACCCTTATTATCATAATAGTAATTTACTTGTTTACTTTCCCCGCATATACATATTATGGAAGAAGATTGTATGTCGTTTAAATTTTCGAGTGTTGGGTGATATATTCGTTTTGCTAATACTAAACGTGCTATAGAAACGTACGCTGTAATTTAGTCGCAAATAGTACTTTACATGGACGAATTAGTAAACGCTTCAGGTTGTACATGTAATAAGATTGAGTAGTGATCCCTTTAGACCAATTAGAACCCCAGGCCCTACTCACTATATACTCAGTTACAGCAAACTGTTAAGAATCGAGT